AGCTAGTAAAGTGCTCGTCTTGTTACATAAAATAAGGCATTTTGTAGCTGGTTATATAGTTATTTTGTAACTGCATATCTAACCCTTTTATTTTTTTCAGGAGGTTGTAAACATGTGGCTTCATAGAAGAAGTGAGGAACTATCTGTAACATCTACTCAGTGTTATTGATAATGATGTACACTTGGCTAGATTGTTAAAGAAACCTCTTCATCCACTACAGGAAAATAAATCAGTACTTTTATATTCTTAGGATTTGTATATATTTTTTATTTGTAAATAAATTGTTTTTTTACTTCATTTTTCTCATTTTTTATTAAAAGGTTAATAAATAAAATTTTCAGATTTTTATATTTTTGTTTGTAAACAATAATTGAAGTTTTTATTAAAAATCACCAATGTTAATAATAATAACTTAAGTCAATATTATTCTTTCTCCTTTTTTAAAGCTACTATTAATAAAGGTATTACTTTAGCTTGACCTATGATCAATTTTTAATTTTGTGATATATTTGGTTTGACAGAAAAAAAATTAAAACCCTTTGACATTGGTTGTTTTTACTTAGATTTTCATAAAAAATAAACGGAACTGCAAACATGTTTTACTATCGTAATAACGAATAGCAACATGAAATTTTTTTTTCACATTTATCACTGTTGTCATTTTCATAAGAAGGCACACTTTCTGGTTTTTTGAAAAAGGTGGCAAGAACTGTGATATTTTTAAATTTATCACCAGTGATACCACATGTAGTTACCCGATTTATTGGAATATATAGACTTTGCTACCACATTCAACTGAACTTGGTTTTTAATATTTATCACTGTGACATAGGCGTTTTTGTTAAAATGTTTCATTTTAAACTGCTGTAAATAGGTGCCTTTGTTAGTTTCAGTCCCAAACAAATCTATGCATATACAGGTACTCATTCCTCTTCAATTTGCTCGAAAAGTTAAATTTTTATCAAAAATTACATTGGCTGTTTAAAAACTCATTATAATCCCTGAAATGTGATAATTAGGTAAATTAAATTAAAAAACAAAAAAGTTTATTAAATTAATATTTACTCTTACAAAATAGGTTCTTGTAAGTTAACAAGCAATTATGCAGATATTACTAAGTAAATGTACTTGCTTAAAATTCACACACGAATGTGGTTTTAACATGTTAAATTAACTAACCCTTCTTATAACTCTTTCCACATGTATTCTTACTTAATTGTACATCTTCTTGAGAAGTTTTTTCATTCTGTGATACACTAGGTGTGGCTTTACTAAAGTGTATCCCATGTTTTCAAGTAGCTAATTATTCTGAAACCCCTATCTGCCATTATATGGGATCCAGGAACCAGTTTGTTTAAATACCCACATTTTTCCATTATTTCTTTATCACTAGTTCTTCCACAAAATGATGAATAAATTCGGTATCTTCAAAACTTTCAGGAGATTCTGCATTTTCTTCCAGAAGGGTTTTTAGGTTATACACCTAAGAATTTATAGTATCCTTATTTTCAATTTCCTGAAGGGGACAATTAGCAGAAATTGCTGCTACATCTTGATAATCCGGTGTATTTTTATTAAAAAGTTCACGAGAAACATCGCTAGTAGAAGGTTGATTTTCTTCTTTCCAAATTTCTAGGAACACTAATAAATATTTTTGAAGATGAATGTGAATCATTATCACATTCTGGAACAAAACACTTTTTCGTAGTCATAATATTTATAAAAAGTACAAAATTAAACAATCAAATTCCAAATAAATTCTTGATGGAGACACTATGATGACAGATGCCATACACAGTGCTGCCATTTTGCCATTTTCTGAATTATTAAGTGACTTTTAAAACAATGAAACCTTAAATATGGTAAAAGTTTAAACAGAAATAATACTTTAAAAAAACATTTGATATTATATATTTAAAAGATATTTGTTTAACGATGTTTTAGAAGTCTAAAAGTAAGAAGGAGTACACAAACGAACGTACATCACTTCTCGTAAACCTTCTAGCCAGCAACGTTGTGCGCTAGCTCCTATTGGTCTATTCCCGGTGACGTCATAAATTTTAAAAAAATTCATAACTCCGGCAAATGAATAGATAAAAAAAAAATAAAAAAAATGTAATTTTATTTTCAACTCTATTATTCATAAAAAAAATTTCAAAATTTTTGAACATGCCCCATTGAATCGGTGAGTTCGACAACCGTACACGTCCAAAATTTTTATTTTGTTATTGAATTGAAAAACCGTACCAGTCACGGACATGTAAAGTTTTTTTGTCATTTCACTGACACAATCAACTGTGCTACGTTACTGGCTAAGTATCTAGTAAGGTTTTTAAGCTCAATCGATGAAGAGACAACTTTTAAAACAAAATAAAAATCTTACTTTAAAATGTTAAATTTTGGACTTGTACGGTTTTCGAACTCACCGATTCAATTACAATTGATTGCAAAAATGTATTTTTCAATTAAGACACTAAAATTATTATTACTTTGCCCTTTCTTCATTTTTTTTTTAAATGAATATACCTAAATTAATATTTATCGATTATAATTTTTTTTACGTGGGCATTTTAACAGTACGAAAAAGATAAACGATACTGAAGCATGCGCACAAAAAAAAAATTGTGATGAAAAGGTCTATACCCGAGTTTCGGTCAAAGCTAGAGCGTCTCACTTTCATGCATTCTTTGAATATTTGTTTTTCTGTTATTTTTATAGTTTACGTGTTGTTTTTTTATTGTTTCCATTTTTAATTATGTTTAAAACGTCCCTATAAATCTAAAGCTGAGGGAGTAATTAATGTTCATTAGAAGTAAATAAATATAGAAGTCTTAATTTTGTTTTGTTTATTGCAATTTATAAAATTATACATAGTTAAAGTTAACAAAATATGAAAAAATAAGTTCAAGGATATACACTAAATTCCTCAGAAGAATCGTTTTCTGAGTAATTGATATCGGAATCGACATCGCTGTCATATTGCTCGATAATTTCGTTCGAAATACAATTATTTTCTTACGGGCAATTCCACAACCACGTAATTTTTATTTGTTTTATTTAATCTGCATTTAATGCAGAAGATTTCTAATCACACAAAAAGTCAATACTTACAGTTGTTTGCAAATTAATACTTTCAAGTTCAAGTTCATCTCAGTATTTTGGATTCAAAGTTGTTATTTTCACACTTTTAAAACGAATGTCGAGAATAGCGAATAGCTCGCATGTTGCTAAAGCGTATACGTTTTTTAGAAAACGATAGCCGAGGATAAAGCCCCTGGCCATCGCTATAACAATTTATTAATATCACGACAAAGGAACAAATATGCAAGTTTCAACTTGAAGCAATAAAAGATGTCAAATAAACGTCAGCTGTACGCACATTCTCAAACTCCTTATCTTTTTTCACAGTTTAAAGGATATATATTCTTTAAACTGTGCCTTTTATAAAGCGCGGATTTTAAACTTGACTGAATATTGCGCGCGCACAAAATCGCGGCAGCCTAAGTTATGCAAACGCTTTCGCGCGGCAGCCGGGTATTTTCTTGTTGGAAATTTTGCGACTTTTCCAACGGTATATAGTTTGACTATAAAAGCGATGAGTGTATAAAAACAACATTGATATAGTAGTTTTCAAACCCATCAGCCACCCTTAACGCAAGGGATGATGGTCGGCAGCCGGGTATAGAAATTTATATTCAAGTACCATCTATCGATTATCTAGAAAATTTAGCAAAAAAGCGATGGGTGGAGTATAGCGCATATTTTAAATTGTTAATAATTTTTTATAACGTAAAACGCAAACGATATTGTAGTGGCTGCCAACGGATTACTACTACACAGTATATTACCCGATGTTTTCATGAAAATTTAGTCATACTAGTGATCGATCCAACATTTTGCAGTGGGCTCCTAAACTATTAATTCTATACAAGTATTTAATTTTAAGCAAATTATTGATAAACCAACTCGTGTCACAAAAAACACAGAAACTTTATTAGATATTATTCTAATTCCTAAAGATCAAGAAGTAAGTTCTTACAGCAATGTTAAATTTCATGATACTGATCATCAGCTAGTTTTTTTGTAAATTAAATCTATTTTTAGTGAAGAATAAATTCATTGTAACTAGGAATCTAAAGAGTATAGATTAACAATTCTCTGTATCTGTAATATATCTGTAATGCGTGGAGGGTGGGTTACCGCACGGCACTTAGGCCTCATTAGGCCCATTGTGCATGCACCTGAGAAGATAGGCACCTTTTAGTTTGTGAGCCAGCCTAAAGATTAAATGTAGTTGACAACGTCGCCAAGAAGTGCGTCTCTTATATCGGCCGGTGTTAGCCGAAACTCGCCGAACACAAATCTTCTAATAAATGAATTTGTTCTAGTTTACGGATAACTGCGAAGTTTTAGGTTTTCGGTACCCAGCCAACTGCACCGTATGTTAGCATAGGTCTTATGATAGCCGTGTAAGTTCATGCGATGACTCTGGGGGAGAAACACGAGGTGCGCCCCACGATTTGGCGGCAATTATTACTTAACTGTCTACAAACAAGTATTTTGAAAATATTTTTAATTCAATTGATGTAAATGATAAGGTTATGTATTTTACAAACAAGTTACTAACAGTAGGTATTTTATACATTAAAAAAAAAAAAATAAAATAAAATGTCAAGGCTACCGTGGCTCATTAACAATATTGAACTAATGATGAAATTGCGGAACAAGGCTTTAAAAAAAATTTAAGAGAACAAAATTTCGACCTCTTCCGGACATTTATAATATTATTGTTTATTTAGCTAATAATAAATTAATAAACAACTTTTGTATTTTTGCACACTCTGTACCAATTTGAAGCAACGTGTGACATATTTTTAAAATCAATACAGCAAGGAAGTATGGAAATTGGAAAACTTTCTTTTCAAACGAATCCAAATAATTTCGTTTCAAAACGAGGTAAATTTTTTAGAATATTCAAATTTAATAGGTACCCTCTTACCTGTTTGTCAAATCTAAGTCCATATTTGTTCGATGTGAACACCATGTATCGAGAAGAATCAATTTTGGATACTCTTGAAATGGTATCACAATGATTTTCGTTACAGACGCATACGGTTGCTCCGTTTCCAAAATCTTTATGTAGACATCCATTTAAAGGAATTGATGATGATTTTAAAGGATTAATCGAAATCAATATAATTCCAATTACGATAACTAAAAAAGAATCACCAATTTTATAAATGTTAGTTAAGATTTTACTCCACCGGACGATTTTCTAAAAGGGTACTTAAATATACATGGTTAGTGATTTCGGATTGTGTTAATTTTTGACTCAATAAAAAATACTTTGCCATGTTACTAGAACAGATTTTAATTTAATACAATTTACATCTAAATCACTTTTAAAATAGCAGTAACCAATATTTTAAACTATATTATCTACAAGAATCAATAAATAAATAAAAAGATAATTGGTCTGATTTAAAAAAGAATTCATATATTCCTATAATATTAACGACACGCCACTAAACTCAGTAAACGTTGATCGGTAATAAGTGTAACCTTCACTTAATGAAGCAGTCATATTCTTTCGCATTTTTACCCAGGTCCCTTAATACTCCTTTAAGACCACATCTACCACAACCCATTCATAAATATTGTTTGTTTACACACCAACATTAAACGTCAGATAAGGTTGAAAATGGCGTCGTTGTTTACATTACTGATATTATTGCCATGGGCGTATCATTAACAGGAAAATGGTACAGTTATAAAAGAAGTCTGTTAAAATTTTTATTTATATATTTATTTTCACAATGATGTATTATTCAAAAGCTAAGAATAACGATATTTAAACAATTTATAAATAGTATGATGACCAATGTAACATTTTAAAAATATGTTTTAAAATATAATATTGCTAATACACTATTAATTTACAGAAAACTGTGCAATTTTCTAGGAAAGGTTTCAAGAAGTATGATGTTTGAGGTCTAAGATACTTACATATATTGGAAAGAATTAATCTATATTTCCTGAAAAGAGATCTTTTAGTTCTTATCAATACTTCTGATGCTATAATTCGTTTAGAGACTGGAGAGTAAAGTATGCACTTAATAATTTAATATTTTTAAAATGTCCCTTAACTGGATACAACAAATAATAACAATGCAACATCATAGCTATGCATTGTTTTGTTTTGAACAACAATTACGATTGAACAACTCTACAAATATGAAGTATAACTGGATAGTATATATGAAAAATTGATATTGATTTTGTTCATATATAAAACAATTTAAACCAACTTTATTTTAGTTATAATAGGAAAGATTTGTTCAAGTATTTTACACATTTACATGATTTGGATGTTAGTATAGCGTCTCCTTATACTTTTATATATTTATAAAATTATTTTCCTACCTCTTGTGAACCAAGTACATACTTGCTTTCTAAATGACCTATTTAAGTTACCCATACTCTTTTTCAATTGTGTAAGTCCAATCATTTTTGAATTAAATTTTTATTAAATTGTATTGGATATGTTATTGATTATAGATTATACTGTGTGCAATACACATAAAAAAGAAACTGTTGTTTACATCCTTTTGATTGTCTGATTTATACATCAATGAAATAGAATATTCGCTGCCTTGAAAATGTAAATCCATTGCTGCGATACATAATATAATAATTTTTTGTATAAATAAAAATTTTCTTGGTTTATTCGGTCTACAGCACTACATATGTTTCGGAAAACTTTTCCATCTTCGGGTGCAGTCAAAGTTTATTAAAACATGGGGACGATTACCAACAGTTTAATTTTTTTTTAAATAACAAAAACCCCTTTCGTTTCAGCGTGTGAAGGAGTATTCGTAAACATTTTTTCGAAAAAAAAAAAAAAAAAAACTTTCCTCTAAACGTGGCTGTATATTGTGAAGTATGTGGTTCGTATCCTATAAGAGCCATCACATGTTTTTTAGTTTCAGAGGTCGTTTAAGTTGTGGATGAATCAGATTTTTGAACATCATGTTCTATTTGATAAGTTATTGTTCTGCAATTAAAAATATAGTTATTTTACCATAACTTCATGACATAGTTTCAATATTTCTATTATCTACTTGATTAAAAAATTTCATACCTTCTGAAAATTGGGATAACCTGTAAGATACTTGCAGTTGGCGGTTCACTATCTGATTCATTAAACCACTTGTAGTAGTAGTAGTAGTAGTAGTACTGCATGCCCTGAATAGGATATAATCCGATTAAAATTTTAACTACCCATAACAGACAATTATTAAAAAAAATATATAGGTAGTCCTGCAGAGCTATTCTACTAATTTTATAGTCAGCTATAAGATATTTTTTAGTAATTTAAATTATATATTTAATGTTATTCCTTGCGAGATGGAATAAATCGTCTATACCAACTTCTTTAGAAACTGATGGAGAGCTACATAAGGAATAAATATTTAATGATATGCAATCACATACTTTGAGGGTGCAAAAGAAGATATATTTACATTATGATTACCTTGAGGTGTTAGGAAGATTAACTTGTTTTGAACTAGCATCATTTTTCAAATATTTCAGGCCATTCGATGTAAATAAGAAATTGCTATCTTCAAAATGGCTAGAGCACCCGTTCCAAATTGATTTCCAAAATACCAAACCAAGCTTTTTTTCTCTTAAAATTTGCAGGAAACCTGAAACAGTTATTAGTATCAATTTTAAATGTAATTTAAAAAGAAAAAATAAATATATGCTTGTTTATAAATGTACAAATATTTTATACACTACAGATACGCCAATGATTAAAAAATATAACCTATAATTTACTTCAATTTAAACTTACTTGTAGAACAATAAATTTGGATTTAGATAATACAATTCTTTGCATACTTTACACTTTCTAACAATATTTGCAGAATAAAATGTTTAATATTGTCCAAAAAGTATAAGAAACAATAAAGACGATTTGACAACTGATACTACTTAACTTTGTACAAAAACGATACTAAAGCGTCATAAGTCATGAACAATTTATGAATGGGATGCAGCTAAGCGCGGTTGCAACGTTGAGGCCGATTTTTTTATTATCACTGTACTTATTTTTTATATAATTGATTAACAAAGATTATATTTGGTTTGTAGTATTTCAAAAGTTGCTTTAACCCGATCTTACACGTACTTAATAATTCAGTTAATATTAACAATATTTAACAGGAATATTAGAGGTTTCTTATTTGCTGAAAACTATTAGAAAGTAATTTAGATAGACTTGGCAATGTGGTAAATCAACTGTAATCTTATCCACCACATTAGCTTAGAATGTGACTGATTGTTGTCGATCACGGTGGTTACATCTTCTGGTTTCTATATCTATGTTTAAGACACTGTGCAACATCTGCATGAAAAACGCCTGACTGACATGAGTGTATTAAAATACAAGTTGCAGAAGCCACATACTCCCGGACGAATGAGTGCGTGAATAGCAACGTATGATTTATACTATTTTTTAGATTTTGTGCTTTATTTCCCGTTCTCTTTTTTATTTTTTTGTGGTCGATGTTGGGAATTTTTTTCGCAAAATATGTCGGTTGGTAACACTTAGTTACTAACCAACTGTAAGGTGGAATTTATTTTACTCTCCGAGCAATTACAACTAAAGAGAGTTTTCCCTCCTTCCCCGCGCTAAATTTTGTATTCAACATCTACTCCCCCTGAGAGGGGAAATCCCTCTCCTGTAATTGGCTTATTTAATTAGCGTTGCCAAGTTTGATAGCGCCAGTTCTGACACATGTCAATTTTTGATTTGTATTTTACGAAAAATATTATTATTTATAGCGTTGTAAAGGTTGTAAATGTATATTTAAGATTTATTATCTCTAATAATATGGTGAAAACATGCTTTATGTGTAAAACACCTGTTGAAAATGCTTTTTCAAGATTATATCATAAGTAAGTACAAACACAACCTAATTATCAGAGGCGGTGCATTAGGCAATCATCTTTATTATGCAGTTAAACTTTCTTATTTTCTTATCGAAAAAGTAAAATTAAGAGGGAATAAACCACAGCTAAGTTCGTCTTTATCCGTCTCATAATAAATATAGTAAATATTAATTTACTTATAAACATAAATAAAGAAAATTTAAACCTGTAGCTTTATTTTAATATCACATATTTGTAAAGTTTAATGTAGGTTTCCTTTTCTTAATATAATAAAAAGAAATATATGGTTCTTAATTTAGAAATTCAACAAGTGACCACTTGAATAACTTTTTATGCTAATGAAGATTTTTATTACATCAGGAAAGGAAATTATTAAAATTTAATTTCAGTAAATTTAGACGAGAAAAGTATAATAATCAATCCTGTCACTACTTCCTCAACATATTCATCTGCTACTAAAATACTAAAACAGCAAGTAAAGCAGAGAAACTTAAGTTTATTTTAAGAAGAATGTTTAAGGAAACGGGTAATGCCATTTTTTTGTTGACAATTTTTTTTAAACCTGTAATTTAATCGACTAGTTTTGTGTATTGTTTAAATTTTCATATTATTCACTTAATTAAAGAGCATAGAAAGGTTTTAAAATTATAAGAAAACTATTCAGAGCCAAAAACGTAAAATAGTTCGTAAGTTAGTCTTCGTGCTTGAAATATAAAGATATAGGTACAAATATTTAGATATTATGAAATATGTTTTATTTTATAAATTGCAGTGGCGTAGCCACGGGGGGTTTTGGGGGTCAGATTTCTCCCTAAAAAGTCCCTTCGCGTCACCGTTTCCGCCATCTTATTGCCGCTGATCGATATTATCTGTTTGGATTTATTCACTTTTTGTCGTTTTATAAAATATTCTTTCTTTTTGTTTACTTTTTTTTAAATAAAATGTCTATAATATTTTACTTTGTTGATGGAATCCCCCATAATTCTCAGAAACCCATCCCATGAAAAATTTATTGCTACGCCACTAATAAATAGAACGTAATTTATTTCCAAATCACTAGTGAAGTATATTATGTAGTAACAAACTAAACAAGAATATCACATTATTCATGTATTTTTTATTTAATAAAAAACATTGAATGTTTATTATTGGAGTTTACATCGCTATGCTAAAACAATACCAGAACAACTTAAATAATGTGGATTTTAACTATTTTGGAGTTATCCAGATCATTATGCTATAATCAGGTATAAAAACAT